CCATCCAAACTATCTCAAATGGAAAGTTGACCAAAACAACAATTGTAGATCTTGATGAGTTGAACAAACTTGGTATTCAAAACTTTTCAATTTGAAGTCATTTAGAGTTCATAATACTAGAGTCAAAGTGTTGTTTTTTCATTTGACCAAATTTGACTTGGTCAAACTTGCTCAAATGAGACACTAAATGACCTCAGATGAAAAAACTCTGAATACCAAGTTTGATCATCTCAGCAAGATCTACAATTGTTACATAGCTCATTTTCCCATTTGAGAAAGTTTTATCAAACACTAGTCATAGATTCTTGAATCTCATATAGACTTTCTGAAACTATGTCACACACTTGTGAAATTTGAACTATATTTTGTTCAAACTTTCTCAAATGAAAAAATGTCCTATATAAGGATTGTATATCTTGATGATATGAACAAATTTGGTATTCAAAACTTTTCAATTTGAGACAATCTAGGGTTCCGAAAACTAGTTTGTAAACGTTGAAATTTAAAAATCACAAATTTGAACCGTCCAAACTATCTCAAATGGAAAGTTGACCAAAACAAAAATTGTAGATCTTGATGAGTTGAACAAACTTGGTATTCAAAACTTTTCAATTTGAAGTCATTTAGAGTTCATAATACTAAAGTCAAAGTGTTGTTTTTTCATTTGACCAAATTTGACTTGGTCAAACTTGCTCAAATGAGACACTAAATGACCTCAGATGAAAAAACTCTGAATACCAAGTTTGATCATCTCAGCAAGATATACAATTGTTACATAGCTCATTTTCCCATTTGAGAAAGTTTTATCAAACACTAGTCACAAATTCTTGAATCTCATATAGACTTTCTAAAACTATGTCACACACTTGTGAAATTTGAACTACATTTTGTTCAAACTTTCTCAAATGAAAAAATAGCCTATATAAGGATTGTAGATCTTGATGAGCTGAACAAACTTGGTATTCAAAACTTTTCAATTTGAGACAATCTAGGGTTCCGAAAACTAGTTTGTAAGCATCGAAATTTAAAAATCACAAATTTGAACCATCCAAACTATCTCAAATGGAAAGTTGACCAAAACAAGAATTGTAGATCTTGATGAGTTGAACAAACTTGGTATTCAAAACTTTTCAATTTGAAGTCATTTAGAGTTCATAATACTAAAGTCAAAGTGTTGTTTTTTCATTTGACCAAATTTGACTTGGTCAAACTTGCTCAAATGAGACACTAAATGACCTCAGATGAAAAAACTCTGAATACCAAGTTTGATCATCTCAGCAAGATATACAATTGTTACATAGCTCATTTTCCCATTTGAGAAAGTTTTATCAAACACTAGTCACAAATTTTTAAATCTCATACAGACTTTCTAAAACTATGTCACACACTTGTGAAATTTGAACTACATTTTGTTCAAACTTTCTCAAAATGAAAAAATGGCCTATATAAGGATTGTAGATCTTGAATCCATGACCATGACTCCATGAGACCCATGAAGCAATGTGCTTGGCTATTTCTACTCATGCCGCGAAGATTGGTGCTTATATGATGTTTGATGTATGATGTATCTGTATCTTTATCTTATTTGTTGTTTTACTCTTTAGTCTTTCGGCTTAATCTAGATGGATTATGGACTCATAGAGTGGTGTAATGGTTTGCGCACGTATGATATATATATATATATATATATATATGCTGCTTTTACTCAATATCCGAATAGATATTTGTATCCGACCTTCTCCGAATCCGATTCATACCGTATTCGATACTCATTATTCGTATCCGTAACCGAGTCAATCCGTATTCGTATATGTATCCGAACGTTATCCGTGTCCAAATCCGAATCCGAACAGAAATATGAAAACAAATATAATATGAGTGATATCCGTTCGTATCCGATCCGTTTTCATCCCTACCAGTAGCTAACAGCCGTATAGTATACTACGTGTATTGCTTCCTTATGTCAGCACATCCAATATATATATGTACACGTCAAAACATATACCATACACATCTACATAAATTTTGATCTATTAGCTTCTAGCCGGTAGATCGGTTTTAAGCATGCAATTGTTTGCTCATATATTGTTATGTCAACTGCAAGTTTGACAATGGGGGACGTTTCCGTATTGGACTGTGCGTGTACGGTCATTGATGCCGTAGGCTACGATGCCTGTTCATGTGTATGTGTTTGTACTGCTTGTAAAGAAAACAAAAACCCATGTACTGCGTGTACAAATTCTAGGTGAAAAACTAGATCGGCTCAATGGTTGACACATTGGCTCTGCAATTCATACCTCATGGAGGATGTCAATTTGATATACTTCATATGCTGTCGGTGCAGAAAGTGATCAACAAGTAAATATTTGTAGTTTTGCTGTACGTTGTGATCAGAGGTGGCCTAGCACTCAATGACACAGGGTTTATACTAGTTCAGGCAACGTGTCATAAGTCCAGTTCGAGTCGATCGGTGACTTTATTCCTGAGCCCAGGTGCTCGAAGTCTGCAGTGGGGTTACAAACGAGAATGAGGAAGATGAGGGGTACAAGAGGTCCGGTCGGACTCCGGTCGAAAGCGTCGAGAGTGACCGGAGCCCCGCTATGATCTAAGTGTTCAAACGTGTGCTTGTGGTTCTAACCTGGCGGTTCTTTGGTTGTGAACTAGTGAACTTGATCGATCCGATGAATCTGAATTGACTTAATGAACTTGAATGTTGGAAGAGAGCGCATCCCCTTTTATAGATAAAGGGGATGGTCTTACAAGTGAGAGGGAGAGAGTACGTATGCTAGTAAGCCTTGTTGCCCACGCCGGCGGGTACAGGACGATGGTAGGTGGCCACAATACTGTTGAATGTCAAATGCACGTGAGAGGTTTGGGTTGTCTTCTTCGTGTATGACAGACGTCGGCGCCTGCCACACTGTTGATTCCTGGAGGCATGCAAGGGGTTTTACCATGTTCGCCCGGTACGGTAAATGTCGGCGCCCACAATACTGTCGATGCCCAGAGGCATGTGGGAGGAGCCTTACCATATGGAAGTTAATGACGCCCACAATACTATAGGGGAGAATGTCGGCGCCTACAACACTGTTTGGGTTCTGTCGTGTCAGAAGGGTCGTAGGGTACTGCCTGGCAGGTGCGCAGGGTACGGTCCTTGGTATTGCGGTTTGACTTGTGCGCCCTGCCTTGCTTTCTCCGTTCGTTCTCTGGTCCTTACCGAGCGGGCATCCCCGGTCGGTTGGTCCCAGTCGGCTCTGATCGCGCCAGTCGGAGAAGAGCAGTGAGCAGGGGTTTGGCGCATCCCCGGTCGAGACACGGGTCGGAGTTGAAAGTAGTGCTTTGGCCAGACCTTTCGGTCGGAGAGGACATCTGGAGGCAGGCTGGAGACCGAAGCGAGCGCTCCGGTCGGAGTGGTGGACCAGAGGCGGAAAACGGGCGCCATTCCTCCTCGTCCGAACCTTCCGGTCGATGACTGGATCACCCTTCTGGCCTGTCGTTTAGATACCTGGGCCGATCCACGAGCTGCGCGTTGTCTGCTTGGGCCGAGCCTTTATTGGGAAGCTGGTCCACGATGGACCCTGGGTTTATGAACCCGACATATGCCGTGTAGGGCAGTGGTTAGTAGGTACATACCGCATAGGGCGTTTGGCATTGTCGTAGAACTGCTTGCTTGACAGCGACGGTGCATGTCGATATAGTGCAGATCGATAGCAGATAGAGGTAGCAGATCCGTTCCACTAACAATGTCGGGACATCGACGTCGTCGAAGTCGTCGCGGCAGGGACGTCAGCATGAGCGACGACGTCGAAGATCGGTGGCGGCTTCAATGTCGATGTCGACGTATAGCTCGTCGTGCTAATAATGTGTTATAAAACACGTCATCAGCGGTTAGGACCTTCCCCTATCCGTCTCTTATGATCAACATCGTATATGAAAGTAGAAAAACAAATAGATACAAGATAAGAAGACTATTCTTTATCAGCCTGTTCAGCTGGCTGGGCTGGATCGTGGATTATTTACTGCTAGCTGGTTTGGTGTGAGAGAAAAATACTGTTCCAGCTTATAATCCACAATCGTATATGATCGTTTATGGCCAGTCGAACAAGCTGTATTCCTCTTAATATTGATAATTACAACATAAAACTTCCATGTATATATAATCCTGCCAAAGCCTAAGAGTTTAGTAAAAGTCCACGTGCAAACCCACTAGTACATAACTGTCCGTATGTTTTACAGCAACAACAACTGCATCAGCGTGTCACAAATCAAATTATACACTTTTCTGTAGAAAAAAATAGATCTCCTGTAGAAAATAGGCAGTCAGCGTCCGATAAAGAGCTGGAGGGAGACATTTATGCTTGTCTGGAAAAGGCGTGTGCGTGCAGGGGTAAACCTGATGTACATAACTGTGTACTAAGGGCGTGTTTATTTTACTGGACGGAGCTGAGCCAGACCCAGCACATGCAGACGCCACTGATTGTTTGTCTTGAAGACGTTTTGGGCCTGGCCCGCACGCTGCTTAAGGCTCCGTTCGTTTAGAGTAAATCCGGCCCTAGAAGCATTCCAGCTGTGGAATACTTATATAAACTTTACTAATGAATCCGGTCAGGAATGGTTGCCGGAGGTCAATCCCCACGAACCGAACGGGCCTAAAGCAGCTGGGAACCAGGCTCCCCCTCCGTTTCTCGCGGGCGCGGGTCGCTCCGTTCACAGGCCGGTTACCTTCGGTGCTTGTCCATCTCCTCACCCCTCCTCCGGCTCTATTCACGGCGCTTCTTCTCGACGAGCGCAACGACGGCCATGGCGGCGACGGTGAGAGCGAGGCCTGTCCCGGCAACGACCCGCGCTGGCGAGCGCAGCCCGTGCGCACCGCTACGCTCGCCCCTCCGCCGCCGTCTCGCCTCCTGAGCTGCCCAGATCTCGCAACCGAAGGCGTAGGCGACGAGCGTCGTGTTTGCGGCGAAGAAGGGCGCGGGCGGATCGTGTCGATCGACGGCCACCAGATGGTGCCGACCGACAGCGAGGACGCGCTGGCCAAGGCCGTGGCGAACCAGCCGGTGTCCGTAGCCATCGACGCGGGCGGCCAGGCGTTCCAGTTCTACTCGGAGGGCGTGTTCACCGGCAACTACGGCACGGACCTGGACCATGGCGTCGCGGCGGTCGGCTACGGCGTCAGCGACGACGGCACGGCCTACTGGATCGTCACCGGCCTCTGCGGCTACATCCGGATGCAGCGCGGCACCGGCAACGGCGGCCTCTGCGGCATCGCCATGGAGGCATCCTTCCCCATCAAGACCTCGCCCAACCCGGCGTGCAAGCCCCGACGCGCGCTCATCTCCGTGCCCGCCATTGCTGCGCTCTGCTGTGGTTGGAGGTGGTGGTGGTGTTCGTGCTTGTCAGAAGAAGAGATGGTGTCCGTGCCCGCCAAATGCTCGATGGAATGCCCCAATGAAAGAGTGCAGAGTAACTCTACCTTATGTTGGTGCAAGGTGACCACGACTGGTAGTCCAGCCAAACAAACACAATCCGGCTTGAGACTGGCTCTACTGAAAAGTGGAGCCAAACAGCAGGTGTTGCACCTGCTGGGCCTGTCCTATGGTGGCCTGGCTCTCCTGGACCGGCCAGGCTGGAAACGTCCAGGGAACAAACACGCCCTAAGCGTCTCCCTCCCGGTCGATCATACGGTACTTTCAGTTGCGTCAGACACCCCTCCATCATTTCCAAACGAAAAGGGTAAAAAGCTCAATGAATGAGGCTCGCTAGTCTCGTTGGCACCGACATGTTGGTTGCACAACTTTCATGTAATGTAATTTAAGTTAGGTTTATTTGGGTTGTGTTGGTTTCCATCATTTCACGGTAATCTATGGATTACTTGGGGATGTTGTAACCAGTCAAACTCTATTTCTGCTTAGTGAAATACATATCGCATGGACACGCTCGTGAAAAAAAAAAGCTCAATGAATCATGTCATGCGATCATGCCTTGCTACATCGCTCGAAATCTGCAAGCGATCAACGGCATTATTCTCGGCAAAGCAACAACTGGTGCTGGAAACAATCACCTGTCTCTGTTTGCAGACCAAGGACTTGATCGGAACTGCTAGCTCCAGGCGGGTTGCTGGAGCCACGGCTGCTGGCCTGCTGTGCCACTCTGTACCACTCCGTTGTTTGGTGCTGGTTACCTGAAGCTTCAGTGCAAGGTCTGTGCGGCACACCCCTCGGTCACCAACAGCGACGGGCCACAAGCCCACGAGCAATTGTGTTTCGGCAATGCTCAGTGGCGGGCTCCGTCCGATCGAACGCCGCTTTTCAGGCCCTACGTGCTACCGGCCCAATAAATCTGCCTCTTCTCTACGTCTCCCAAATCTCTCTTAAAAATATCTCGTCACTTGCTCGCCCATCGAATGCTTCACGGCGCCATGCGGACGTCCATCCGCCCCACTCCGCATTTGCCCATCTCTCCGCAACGTGCCCCATCCTGTGCTGTTCGCTCCTTGCTCCTACCCGTCGCATGCCCCACCCGCGCCTCTCGCTCCATGCTCGCACCGTCCCACCTGCCGCACGCCCACCTGTGCTGCCCGCCTCTGGTGGTGCTGGTGGTACCGTCGCGCGTCTCAGGTCGGTCCCGGCCGAGCCAAGGGCACCCATGAGCGCGGCCCGTGCTAGAGGTGCTCACGCGACGCTGGCTCCCACCCCGAGGCCGGAATCAACCAGCCTCGGACTCCCCTTCATACGTTGCAAATGTATGTTTCAAGTGTTTCAGAGATATGTTGCAAAGTGTTTTATATGGATGTTGCAAAAGTAGATCGGGATATTGCATATGTTGCAAGAGCTTCAGAGGCATGTTGCAAGCATTTGTTCAAAATGTTTCATCTGTTTCAGACGTATGTTGCAAGCATTTTTTATTTGCATGTTGTACATGTTTCACACATATATTGCAAGAGTATGTTCGAAATATTTTAACTGTTTCAGTCGTATGTTGCAATAAGTGTTTTCATGTTGCAAGTTGCAAGTGTTTTATCCAGATGTTGCATATGTTTCACACACATGTTGCAATTGTATGTTCCAAATGTTTCATCTGCTTCAGATGTATGTTGCATCCAAATGTTTCATGTTCCAAATGAATGATGGGGGCATGGCCCAGGCACCGAGGGATGGGGCGCGGCGAGCCGTCTGTCGGCGGTCCGGGCGCGTAGTGCCCCTAGGATCCTGCGGACGGGGCGTGGTCGTCCTCATGCCGGCTCTTGGGTCCCGCCCGCGTAAAGAGAGATGATGGGGTCAAGGGGAAGGAGTGGTTAGCGCGGCGTTCGTGCGGGTGCACAGGCATCCGGACTCGCTTTCACGGAGAGAGAGGAGGGGCCCAGGTGGAAGGAGCAGCGGGCGCGGTGTTCTCCGCGTGCGCGCGTGACGGAGGTTGCGTGGGCATCTGGACACGCACTTCTGTCCGGACGTCCGGGGGTTACTATCTCCCATTATGTTTGTGTAAATCTCACGGCTACCTTAATCCCTTGTTCAGGCAGGGACAAGGGATTAAGGTATTGTCTAAAGTTTAGTTGAAGAAAGTAAAAATTTTAAATTTTAGATCACTTTAACTTGTGTGGTCTGATGGAATAATGTCATTTTTATGAGGTTGGCTAAATTTTCAGAAAATATTAGATCACTTTCATCATTAACTTGTCAGGTCGATCTAATGGAATAATGTCATTTAAATTTTAAATTTTAGATCACTTTAACTTCCGCCATAAAGAAAGTCACATGAGGCTTTGTGCGTCAAAATTTATTAAGTTTGACTAGGTTTGTAAAAGAAATTGAAACATTTGTATCTTCAAATAAGTTTATTATAAAAATTTAATGATACTTATCATGTACCATAAATGTTAATATTTCCTTGTATATATTTGATCAAAGTTAAAAAAATATTTAACTTAAGAATGATATATTTTATGGGACGATGAACCTGTTTGGATAAATTAATTCAGTATGGTGACTGTTATGTGGAGAACTCCTTTCGCCCTGAATAAATAATTTTTTTGAGTTGTCTTAAGTTGAACTTCTTTATGCTTGACCATGCTTATTAGAAAAACAACAATATTTATGATACTAAATAAATATATTGTAGAAATATATTCGTGGTCTATCTATCTAGTGATAGTAATTCGGTGTTATAAATCTTGGGCTTTTTTACAAGTTCAGTTAAATGTTAATAAGTGTTTGAAACAACTTTAGAAATTAATTTATTCAGGAACGAAAAGGTGGGTTTTAATTTGTACTAATCTGTATTAGACATTTGTACTAATCTGTACTAAACCGATCCACGTCACTGCGGTTATGCTGGCAACTCGCGTGCGATAAACGGCGCCATTTCTATGCGAGCAAGAACGAGTGCTGGGTATACTACTCACCAAATGGCGATGGCAGCAAGGACGTCGGCAGGCCAAACTCGGGATAACGTTAACCCCGGGCTAGCTAGTCCAATAGCCCATTGCATGCAGCTGAAAATTATTCTTGTTTTCACTTGGGAGGCTAAACGGTTGCGATGTGAGTCATGGGGCACGCAGCGAGAATTGGCAACGTTTTACTCTCTGTTATTAGCTGGTTGGATTGAACCTTTTGGGCATCATCAAAAGTGCAATCAGACTACTGCTGCTATTTTTGAAAGCCAAAAGGAAAGATCGACTATACTTCTAGCTCGTTGAGCACTGACCACTGAGTATGCGATGGACCATTACTATATATACGTTTATACTTTACTAGCTTATTATCGGGCATGATGGGATGGAATTTGAATCGATCCTTATCTTCTAGCCGATGATGATGATGATGATGATGAACGATGTCGCACTTGGCATCGCCTTTTCGATCTGGTGGCAAGTTTAATTAAAGAGCCTGATCATGCATGAGTCACGACCTGCTGTCTCTCCGATAATCTCGATCAAACTTCTATCGTAGTTGCCTCTTTTTCTCTCTTCCGCACAACTGCCGTGCGTCGTCAACGGCCCAAACGCTCTATCTGTAAAACCCAGAACAAAGCGATGCCAGCGGCAGAGGGCAGCAGCGAAACCTGCCTGCCTCGTCAGTCCTCACCCAACGTTGGCCGCAGGCGCCAGCCGCCAGCAAGCGCAGCATGCCGCTTTGCGAGCTGCATGGAGAGGGACCAGCAGCGTATCTCAGGCCGACCACGGCTCCACCACCCGATCCCCTGGCTGCCTCCCGCCTCGCCTCCGCCGCCCGATTTCTCTGCGGAGCATCCGATGCGGTTCCAGCCGGCCGCGTTCACATCGACGGAAGCATCAAACCAACCCATCTTGCTTTGATTTGAAAGCCCTTTTGCCTCAACGCGGACATGCCGCAGCGGGTGCTTTCCCCTCCCTCGCACGGCTTGGCTTCGGCCTTCCTGTCTGTGTCTGGCCCGCCCGTTCCGTCCCTTTCGGCTGCGCGCGTAGCGTATCTGATCTGCTGCTGGCGATTTTTTTAACATATTTTTTAGCTAATTTTAAAACTGTTTATTATTTTTCTTCAAATCTAACACTTTTGGCCGCGCCTATTTACACGGCGCGGTGAATTAATGCTGCCACTCTATGCATGGGGCACGGCGAGGCTGCCTACGTGGCAGCGACCAGAGCCGCTGACCGGTGACGTGGTCAACTCTGCCGCGCCACCAATCAGGGCGCGACTGTGACGCGCCACGCATCAAGGCGTGGCAGTGACACGCCACTCGCCAGGGCGCGGCAGAGGCAAATATAGGCCCGTGGCCCAGTCCCTTTCCTCCCTCTCTGTTCCACTCCGCGCCGCACAGCAGCCACCTCCGTGCCGCCCTGCCCCCGCCGCCGCACCTCCCAGCCCGCACCGCCGCGTCATTGCCTCTTGGCTCCCCCACGGCCGGCCACCGAATTTTCCTCCCTTGTCGTTTCCCTCCCTACCTTTCATGAAGCCTTTCCGCGGTCTTGTCAAGGTAATGAAGCTCCTACCCGGTCTCCACGGTGGATCAAGTGATTTGAATGAGTAGTTAGGGTATGGAGAAAAATATGAGTTTATTGTCAATGTTAAGGTTAATTGGCTAGTTAGAATTACGATTACCATGTATTTTGCTTGTTTGAGTTTGCATCTCAACTTTTATACGTGAATAAATATATTGACACACTGTTGATGTACCAAATTTTATTTTTTACCGATCAAAGTATAGTTTTTATATAGTTTTCATGTTTGCATCTAAGATAGAGTTTGCACCAAAACGTACGTTATATTTTATTTGTTGTAATGCAAATGGTTCTTATTAACATTAATTTGTGATGTTTTGATTTTTGTTTGTTAAATTACAACCGTTTTGTTAGATGCAAGAAATGTATTGGGAGGAGTTTTGACGAAAACGGGGTCATCCTCGAGAATTATACCCCGACGCGTCTAGCAAAGATGCCCCCGTCCCTCCTGACCTCTCTGTCCCTAACTGTGACTATGGTTTCCCGGCCGACGTGTTTCAATCGAAACATCTAGACACAGCGACGCGTTGCTTCTACACATATAATCGTTTTAATATAAGTAATTGTTTCCACTATCTTTTTTTCTTCATTTGTGTAAGTAGACTACTAATGTTTTATTGGAATCTTATTGTGTAGTGAAAGGATCAAGATGACCAAGAGAAAGGTGAATTGGGCTAATTATAAAATTCTTTACAATAATTAAACCCTACGGTTAGCCCACTTCACCCCTTGTACCTAGAAAGTGTTTCTATTGTTCTACCGCATAAAAGTTTAGCA